GGAGCAATGAAAAAGGCAGTGTTAATTGACAACCGATGGAAACCAGTGTGAGAGGGAGTCTTGGCAAATCCCCAAGAAATTGAGGATTTAAATGGAACAAGAGCTGTCAATAATAGAATCAGCTGAGCGAGACCGATCACTCAGAAACCGGGCAGGCCAAAATTGGCCTTAATCTGTGACTATATTGGTTAATGACCAATGGTACCAAGTGACTGATCACAGCAATTTTAAAATTTGTATCATAAATATTTTATCATCAATCATAATGATTTATTCAAATACATATGAAATTCTTTCTTACAGGCAGGATTCATTTGCAAGGAATACAAGTTTACTTTAATACTTTTCGAATGTGTTGAACTTCAGCAAATATGTATTGACATGAAATACAAATTGTTACATAACCTTTCATTCCCATTCATTCATTATGAGAGAGACTGATCGAAGGGTTTTTCAAAACCACCTCTTAATTATACAAGAACTGCTGATCCTTGTGAATGGTTCCATCACAAAGCTGTGCATATTAGACTCTTTAGTTCTCTATTTGTGGGTGTGTGTGTGTAGAGTATGCAAGACTGATATCCCAGTACATCTTTTTCTTGAAATTGGAGTTACAAAGCCCAGTAAAAGAAGGGACTTCTCTGCCCTAATAAAAGATAGGCTATATATGCTAATAAAATTTGAAGTTCATATCCTTTCATAAAAGTTACGCATCTCAAAGTCAAACTCACTGTCTTCAAGCTGATTCTGACTCATAGCAACCCTGTAGAACCAGGGAGACCTGCGACTTTCTGAGACTGTCACTTTTTATGAGAACAGCTTGCCTCATCTTTCTCCCAAGGAGCAGCGAGTTGTTTTGAACAACTGACCTTGTGGTTAGCAGCCTTCACAATGTTTATGGAAAATCCCATGTTTTAATAACATTTTTCCCACATCTCTGAACTTTCTGAAACTCCCTCATGTGTGTCTCTGTGTGCATATATATGAATGTGTGTGTGTATATATGCATACATATAAATTTAATTTTTTATATCACCTTACATAATAAATCAGATTTTAATCAGATGCTTTTCTTAAGTGCATTTATAACCTCCACCCTATCAATACTTCTTCTGAAGATAAGAAAAAGTTATTCACAGAGGAAATAACAGGAGAAAGAAATAGGTGTAAGTGATAAAGTAAGAATACATTCATATATGCTAATGTCTTGATTTTTTATTCGCTCAGATTTCCCTTTGGCTGGGTGGCGGGTGGTAACTTATTGGAAGGAAATATGAGTATGTTGTTCTTGAATATGCTCCCTTTCCATTTCAACAGGTGCCAATAAGTGAATCTCAGAATAATGCTGATGAACTGGGGGAGGGTGTAGGGGAAGCATTCTAGAACTCCCTTTGTTTTTGTTTGCTTACTTGTCTGAATTTTATTTGTGTAAAATTAAAGCCTCGCATTCAAACTGTCCTTCTGAGATGGGTTCTTATTTTTCTATTTTAGGTTTCTTTCTTTAAACTATATCATCTTTTATTTTTTGCCATTTATGTTTATTAAAATCGTTTTATTGGGGATTTGTACAACTCTTATCACAATCCATACGTACATCAATTGTGTTAAGCACATTTGTTGCCATCAACATTCTCAAAACATTTGCTTTCTACGTGAGCCCTTGGTAACAGCTCCTCATTTTCCCCTCCCTCCCCAACCCCCCTCCTTCATGAACCCTTGATAATTTATAAATTATTATTATTTTGTAATGTTTTACACTGTCAGACGGCTCCCTTCACCCACTCTTCTGTTGTCCATCCCCCAAGGAGGGGGTTATATGTAGATCCTCTAAATAGCTTCCCCCTTTCTACCCTCACCTTACCTCCACCCTCCCGGTATCACCAGTCTCACCACTGGTCCTAAGGGGTTCATGTTTCCTGGATTTCCTGTGTTTCCAGTTCCCATCTGTACCAGTGTACATCCTCTGGTCTAGCCAGATTTGTAAGGAAGAATTGGGATCATGATAGTGGGGGAAGGGAGTGTCAGAGGAAGCATTAAAGAACTAAAGGAATGTTGTATGTTTCATCGTTGCTACACTGCACCTTGACTGGCTTGTCTCTCCCTGAGACCCTTCTGAAAGGGGATGTCCAGTTGCCTATAGATGGGCTTTGGGTTCCCACTTCACACTCCCCCTCATTCACAATGATATGATTTTTTGTTCTTTGATGCCTGATACCTGTTCTCTTCGACACCTTGTGATCACACAGGCTGGTGTGCTTCTTCCATGTGGGCTTTGTTGCTTCTCAGCTAGATGGCCACTTGTTTATCTTCAAGCCTTTAAGACCCAAGATGCTATAACTTTTGATATCCAGGCACCATCAGCTTTCCTCACCACATTTGCTTATGGACCCATTTTGTCTTCAGCGATCGTGTCGGGAAGGTGAGCATCATGGAATGCCAGTTTAATAACACAAAGTGTTCTTGGGTTGAGGGAGTACTTGAGGAGGCCCAATGTCCATCTGCTACCTTAATACTAAACCTATAAATATATGCAGGTAGATCTATGCCTTTGGACCATAATGGGGGAAGGACTTGAAGGCCTTGTAGAAATAGTCTTGTGGTCTAATGATGAGGTCATCGGCACTTATGACTTCAAATAGTACCTCTCTTTGGAGATTGAGAAACACCTCTTCTCTTTATCAGGCCTTGGAAAAAGCTAGAATGCCCAGCACCTCCATTATTTATACAACCCAAGACTGAATGCTTGGTGACCAGAGAACATCTATACTAACTTCATATTCATCAATTAGTGTGATTGGGATATTGTCAGATTCAGTGGTGAAGCTGCACACATTTTCAAAAGCTGCACGGGTTAGTACTTTGGGGGAAAAAGCCATCTTTTCACATGGGGATGTGGACAAATGAAAATTTCCAGCAATTAACTGGCAGCATTGCATGTGTATTTACATGTAGGATGGCTTATTTTTCATTTTAATTAGCTTTTAGAACATTGCCTGGGATACTAATAAATGTATGGGAATATGTATATATAAATAAACTGTTTACATCTGAGCTAATTTGCTTCACCATTAGATATTGGCAGCAGCTAAGTGAGCCATTAATGGTGGACATTAGTCTTATAGACAATGGAACCAATCCTTCCACTCAAGCCATCCTTTCTTTTTCTACTTCTATCCCAGACTTCACTGCTGCTCTAGAAGAGCATTTCTTGAGAATGACTTCACAGTGGAATCACCCCGGGAGCATCAAAACTAACCAAACCACTAGCGATCTAGCAAACTCTGGCATGGATCCTAATTCACAATGTCTGCAATTGTGTCTGATGGCCGGTGAGACCACAACATGTTTAGGAAACTTCCCAGATGATGCTAATGTCAAGATGGTGGACCACTGAATCATGAATGCGTTTCCTCATATTGTAGGAACATCACCTTGAGGAATGCAGGTCTTCCATTCCTGTCCCTCATTTACAGATGACTCGAGTGGTCGTAGCTAGGTTTGTGGCTGTTTGCCTCCCAGCGGCGAAGCCTCGCAGCCTATGACTGTTAATGGACACTAAAAATGATCCGTAGAACCAAGGGCTGAGCGTTTATTTGATTTAACTTGTCTTTCCTTTGACTTATTCGTAATCACCCCTGTTACAAGACTATGGTACCAAGTTAAACCAGTTACCAAGTGACCGCTAGAGGGATTGAGATGATTTCAGAATAGTAATAATAATAAAATACCTCACTGCCACGGAACCAATTCCAACTCACAATGACCCTGTAGATCAGAACAGAACCGACCCCCTGAGTTTCCAAGGCTGTCAATCTTTGTAGAAGCAGAAAGCCTCATCGTTCACCCACAGAACAACTCTGGGTTGGAGCCACCAACCTTGCTATTAGCAGTCCACTGAGCCACCTATCATGCCACCAAAGTGTCTTTCATTTAAGAATAACCCTGATAATTTATAAGAAGCCATGTTTTCAATGGGTGAAAAGAATAGTTTAGACCCCAAGAGAGTTCTGTGCCAGAAACAGCCCACTTGAAGCTTCAGATGAGACTTAAAAACACACAACATGACAGTTTATGGGCTTACACTGTCTGAAATGCTTTCACAAGGTAGCTCATTACATCTTTTTGGTCACTTTGTGAGGTAGTGACTATTGCTCTCTCCGGGGAAGAGACAAGGAAAGTAAGGTTAAAATGGAAGAGGGGAACAAGTGGTTCTAGAAGCTTTGAGTGGGTCCCGGACTGTGCCCAGGTGTAATGGACAGAGAAGTCTGAAGAGAAACACGTTGCGAAACATTGGGCTTCAGAGAGCACTTGTATCTGCTGGTGAGCCCTGGTGGTGCAACCGTCAAGCATTTGGCTGCTAACTGAAAGGTGCGCGATTTGAACCCATGGGAGCAAGGACAGGCGAGCTGAGATTTTAGGCTAGGAAACCCTCTGAGGTGGCTATGAGTGGGAACAATGTGCCAATATCAGTTTTTCATCTGATATTGGGCCTCTAATGAAAACAACCGGTACAATTTATCTTCCTTTGGCACTGTTAAGCACTTCATTATTTCATTTAACCCCCACAAACCCAGAAACAACTACCCTGATTCCCCGAAAGTAAGACATTCCCTGAAAATATGACCTACTTACAGTTTTTCCTCTCACTGAAATAAAAGGCATCCCTCCGAAAATAAGCCCTCCCCCAAAATAAGCCCTCCCCCAAAATAAGCCCCCCCAAAGCTACCATAACTCTGGACTCTGGACCATAGTGGTGGGCGCTGTTGGCTGCAGCTGGAGCAGACAGAAGCCCAAGGGTCTTTTTTAATAAAACAATAAACAATAAATGTGTATAGTTTTCTTCTTCATGGAAAAATAAGACATCCCCTGAAAATAAAGACCAAGCACATCTTTGGGAGCAAACATTAATATAAGATACTGTCTTATTTTGGGGGAAACGGTATTATTATTCTCAAGTTACAGAGGAGAAAATTTAGGTTTAACGAAGTTAAATAACTTGCCCAAAGTCACCGAGCTGGGCTTCAACTGTCTGGCCTTCAATCCTGTATTCCAAAACTCTGCCATATGCTGCCTTTCTGTAAGAGAAGAGAGGAAGTGCATTTATTTATTTATTTATTTTAACATTTTATTAGGGGCTCATACAACTGTTATCTCAATCCATACACACATCAATTGTGTAAAGCGCATTTGTACATCGTTTCTCAAAACATTTTCTCTCCATTGAAACCCCCGACATTAGGTCCTCATTTTCCCCCTCCCTCCCCACTCCCCCCTCCCGCATGAGCCCTTGATAGTTTATAAATGGGTATTTTGCCATATCTTGCCCTGTCCGACGTCTCCCTTCATCCACTTTTCGGTTGTCTGTCCCCCAGGGAGGAGGTCACACACAGTTCCATGTAATCGGTTCCCTCTTTCCTACCCATTCTCCCTTTACCCTCCCTGTTTTGCCATTCACACCACTGGTCCTATAGGGCTCATCCGTCCTGGATTCCCTGTATTTTCAGTTCCTATCTGTACCAGTGTACCTCCTCTGGTCTAGCCAGTCTTGCAAGATAGAATTCGAGTCATGGTAGTGGGAGCGGGGAGGAAACCTTTAGGAACTAGAGGAAAGTTGTATTTCTCATCATTGTTACATCGCACCCTGACTGGCTCAGGAAGTGCATTTATATCAGCCATATGACACTACATTCTGTTTCTTGACATTTCCCCCCCCCCCCCCAGGAAGACCCTGCCTGTCTCCAAAATATTTCTCCTTAAGAAACGCCCACACTATCTTTGTAATACCTTGCAACCTGGGACTTGGGTAAGGATGGTAGGGCAGACCATAGGTTGAATCACAGTGCCATCTGCCTTTTCTGGCATTCAGATTTCAATTCATATCATTTCGTACTCACCACGCCCACAATTCCCTGGCAAGCTCAGCTCCATGAGAGGATCACCAGGGTACTTTAACAACAAGTAACGCCTGGTGTCAGCGAGTCAATTCTGACTTACACTCACACTCTAAGACAGTGAAAGCTTATGGAAGCAGACTTCCACATTTTTCTCCTGAGGAGTGCCGGATGGATTTGAACACCAACCTGGAGATGAGCAGCCCAGTGTTAAATCCAGTACCACTTCAAGGATGCTTACCTATCTTCCTTTGACATGGCCAGCACAGCCACACACATCTTTGCTTTTCTCGGTCAGTGCCTCTCACCCTTCCTGTTCCCTATCCCCATACCTTTTTATTTTTTTCTTTCCTCTGTGATTTGGAAGTTCCATGGCATCTTTAAAGGTAGATACTGCAACTTAATTTTGGTAGCCATGGCCCTTGCAATAGAGGCCCTTGAGCCTCCACTCCAGTTAGTATCAATCCTGGTCCCATAAGAAACGAATGCAGCCAGGTCAGAGAATGGGATTGTAGTCAGACAGACCTACATTCTACCACCTGCTATCTGTGAGAAGACAGGGAATCACTAGGAATCTCAAGAAAGAGCCTCGGTTTCCCTGTCTTTAAACTGCACCCAAGCATGCACACTTTACTGGGCAATTCACAAGACCTGCTTGGTGTAGTACTGTGGTGTCTGCTTAGCACATGTTAACAGCTATACCAAGCCAACCACAACTATTATTATTTTCCTACAAAATAAAAGAGACTTTAGCATTATAATTGAAGCTACGGGCAGAATGTGGTTTGTGGACATGCTGATTGCCATACAAAATAAGATTTATAGGGAGCAGAGACTCCACAGGCAGATGCGTTTTTTCAAGTCCCTGCTATACCACTTGCTTAGCTGCATGATCTTTGAGATGTTACTCAACATCTCTGTGCCTCTTTTTCTCAACTGAAAATGAGGATAAAAATAGTATCTACATGATAGGGCTTTCATGAAAATTTAAAAGCTAATATGAGAGTTGACAAATGTGGACACCTTTGAACAAAGTCTACCACATATTAAGCAGAATGCCAGTATTAATTATTTGTTATTATTTCAGTTAAATTCTCTCTGAATTCACAATAGCAAAATAAAACTGAAGAATATGCAGTCTATTGTCTTCTTAGATATATACCCAAGTTTCCCTAGGAACTTATATATCCAGAGTTATAAATTTGTATGTCTAGAACTTTATAAGATTTACATGCTCCCCTGGAAATATATGTTCCCCCTGAAATGCATTCTTCTCTTTAGTACCTTTACCCTCCTTAATTAAGTTTTTGCTCCAAATTCTTCACTAAGGTGTTCTTCTTTTACTTTGTAACATCTTTTTTGAAATATTATAAATGCACCTCCTAAATCATGGCTAGGCAATGTCTATTGAGAGCCATGGATCAGAGTTTCCCAAAATTCCCTGCTAGAAATTACCAAAAGCAGTTATTTAATGTCCAGGTTTCCAGGCCATTACCTAAATCAGCAAGTGAGGTTTGGGTCGGCACTCAGGAAACTGTGTTTGAAACCAACACCCTGCACAGGCTATTCAGAGAGATGATCCCTTTGTCCCTTTGATGATCCCTCAGTGCTGCCACAAAGCTGAGGAAGGAGAGAGCAACAAGGCCACCAGTTACATTTTATTCTGATTTCACTGCTCCCAGCCCCAGGGGGGGAATTTCTCAGCTTTCTTCCTGTGAGCAATGACTCTCAGACACATGTGCAATCTTCATTTCTGAGATTTCTAACCTCTAGTAGCCCACGCTGTCGAGTCGCCCAAATCCATCAGCTGGAAACACTTTTCCTGGCATGTGGAACAAGACAGAGGCAATGCAACCCCAGAGACTCAGCAGAGAGTAGGGAAATGGGGAAAAATCTGAGGCTGGCATCTTTGTAACCTCGAGAAATCCACCCGTTTGGGTATCTATAAGACAGAAGCTAGCCCTTGCCGTTCAGTTCAGAAGCATGACCGATTTCACAGGTTATTCCTGGCCAGAAAATGGGAATGAGTAATGGTTTCATTCTTTAAAAGGACCAGGGTAGAACTTTTAAAGAAAACCAGGCAGAAGGCATTTCAAAGATGGCTTAGGGTATTTTTGTTTATTTTCCTTATATATAGTGTTTTCTCACTCAATGATTGGAAGTTAAGTATTTCCCTCCCTCACTCTAGGTGAGACGATGTAGCGGGTGCTACAGAGCATAGATTTGACCCCCAGAGGTCTCTGGGACTCTGGGTTCCATTTCCCATCCACTCATGCTGAGGCCTTGAATTGAACACGTCCGTCAGGGTCTCAGGAGACTGGTTTGCTTCCCTCTCAAATGATGCTGTGCTGGTAGGTGCCCTGGAGTGGATTTCCACCCCATCCCCCCTGTGCCCAACAGAACAGAACACGGCCCGTCCTGTGCCATCCTCACCGCTGTTTAGTTTGAGCCCGTAGCTGCAGCCACAGTGGCAATGTAGCTCATCAAGGGTCTTACACTTTTTCATTGTCCCTCCTCGTTACAAAGAATAATATCTTTTCCAAGGACTGGTCTCCCCTGATAGGAATGATCTTTACCACCTAATACTTGATCCAAAGACTAAATGAGATACAGGTTTTCTCCACTATCCAAAAGTAGATCATTACTATGAAAATGCTCGCGAGCTGAAATGGTGCCAAGCAGAAAGGCAGGTACCATTCATTAATGCTGGCGACATTGTCGGGCATCCACAGAACCAAGTCGCACATAAGACTAGAATTACCACCCGCGTTCGGTGTTCAAAGCCAGGTGGCTTGATGCTAAGCTTCTGCTATAACTCCCAGGGGCCAACCCAAAGCAAACTTACTGCCATCAAGTCGATACTGATTTGTCGTGACCCTTTAGGACAGGGTAGAACTGCCCCCCTGTGAGTTCCTGAGACTGTAACTCTTCATGGGACTAGAAAATGCCTGTGTGTCTGTTGTAGCGCCGCGGGTGATTTCTACCTGCCCATGTCGTGGCTGGCAGCCTCCCTCGCAAGCACTATGCCACCAGTGCTCCCCTTCCTGCAGAAGGAGCAGTGGGTTCACTTTGCTGCTTGGGCACCCACTGCCTCTTAAACAGGCTGCGGTCGAAGAAACCCTGAACCCTTGTTTCACCTTCTACCCACTTTCTGATAAAAGCAAAAATGTTAGAAATTTCATCTGTTAGCTAAAGCTGGCTTTAGCTAACATAGAGGACGCATAAAAGGAAACTGGCATAAAGTCAACTTTAAAAAAGCAAGGGAGACGGTGCCTTCTGTAAAGCACTGAGCATGGGTGCTGGCACAGGAGACACCCTGAGGACACTGGCTGTGTTGTTGCGCATGCTCCCCAACGTGGGTCACGTGTTTAACCCGAGCTCACGGTCACCTCCTCTCTATTTCCACGTGTGTTCTTCTTACTTATGGCTCATTGTGCAACTCAAATGTCCATTCCTTCCCACTGCTCCCAGACTCACAAATACGAAGCACCAACTCAGCCAAGGCTCTCTGGTGGCTTAGTAGGCTATGTGTTGGATTGCTAACCACAAGGCCAAGTTTGACTCTGCCAGCGGTTCCCTGGGAAGAAGAAGAGGCTTTCTCATCCCATAAAGGCTTACGGCTTCAAAACCGCATAGGGGCAGTTCCACTTCATCCTCCAGGGTCACTGTGAGCTAGAATAGAATCCATGCCAGGAGGTAGGGAGGTGTGTACCTAGCAGGATTACCTACCACCCCCCTCTCCACCTTTCTATCCCCACAAAATCTCACTGTCATGGAGCTAATGCTGACTCAGAGTAACCCGGTAGCACAGCGTTGAGCTGACTCTGGATTTTAGAGACCGTCACTCTCTAAAGGAGTAGAAACCTCCGTCTTTCTCCTGAGGGTAAGGTGGCCATTCAAACTGCTGGCCTAGTGGTTAGGGTCCTTTGTTAGTCTGGGGACTTTAGAGAAAGAAATCCACAGAAACTCAGGTATGTTTTATATAAAGGTTAAGTGCATATCAATAAAACATCCCAACCCAGTACGGCCCAAACCCAAAGTTCAACATTAACCCATATACCCGACACCGATCCACAAAGTCCTCCTCCATCTCACAAAACAGCTGTAGTGATGCCGACTGCAGGAGAAAAGCCAAGTCAGTGAATGTGTAAGCATGTCAGCGTTGGCAGGGGTCTCCACACGGC